ACGAGGGCGGAGTGACTGCGACGGGGGCCAGGGGTCGCCAGGGAACGGGGCCCCTGGTGCTTCCAGCTCTCTGGCAGGCGCCTGTTTCCCTCAGCTGACTTCGGGGATCCAGGCCCTACCCCCCAACCCGCTAGTCCTGGAATTTGGAGAGAGAGTTCCTTTCTAAGCCCATGCTGGGAGCCAAAGGACATCTTCCTTATTGCGGATGACAGCTGCGGGACCTGCCCTGCCCTGGGGAAGGAAGTGCTTCTGAGCCTCGGGCCTACACCCTGGTTGTCACAAGCTTCCTTTCCTCCTCTCCTCTGCCGGAGGGGCTGCGACGACCCCTGACCTCGTGGGGGGTCCTGGGCGGCCGGAAAGGCCAGCAGGTGCCAGGCCCGATTCAGGGGCAGGGGGTGAGATGAAAAGTTGGGAGAGGGGTGCGCAAGGCCTCCCCGGATGCTGTCCCTCCCCCAGCACAGAGGGTCACCGGGCCGAGGGGCTCCCTCCCCAGGGGGGCCGGGGTTGTCTGTGGCCTCTGCGATCCTCCAGGACAAGAAGGGAACGTGAGAGCCGGGTTCTCAGAGGTGGGCGCCCACCCTCAGGCCTCCCGGCCTCCTGCCTGGCCTTCAAGGCCTCTGCGATCTTTAAAAGAGAAAAGGTCAAGCACCAGCACCCCTTGGAGGCTGTGGGTGGCACGAGCACCAGTCATTTGGCCTTGCCCCTACCCGGGGGGCACGGTGGGCCGTGCCCCAAGGCTTTCTGAGGTCCACTTGGTGGCTGGCCGCAGCCCCCAGCACGCGCAGGGCCGCCTCCCCCACCATCTGCCAGGCAGGCGCACGGGGAATGCAGATGAATCTCAGTATCAGCCTGGGCCAAATGCGAGGAGGGAGACAGGCTGTGCTCCAGGCAGTGTCACAGCCCCTCGTCCCTCCCCGGGCCCCCAGGGACACAGGGAGGGAGGACACAGCAGCTCCCCCCCACGGATGGCTGTGAGGGGCCCAGCGTCCTGCCAAAGACCCCTGAAGCCAGGCGAGGAAGGAGCAGGTAAATAAGTAGCTGGCCTCAGAGCCTCCGGTCCGGCTGGGAGGAAGGCGCTGCCGAGTGTGGGCAGCTGGTTCCGTTGCTCACAGGCAGAGGCGGCTCGGCCCACTCCTCGTCCATCCACAAGGTCCTCTCGCCCTCGGAGCGGCATGGCCCAGACAGTCCCTGATTCCGCTCCAGCCTGGGCCCTCCTGTGTGACCTTGGGTAGGTTACTCCGGTTCTCTGGTGCCAGTTTCCTGATGTGTTGTTACAAGAATGAAATGACACAAAATGTACAAACCCAGGGCAGCCGTAGGAGGGCCGCCGTGGAACTTCTCACTTTGCCACTTCCCACACGTTGGCTCCGGCTGGCTCCGGCTGCCCTCCTGCCAGGCTGGCCCTCGATCCCTCTGGGTCATCCTGGCTCTCACTTCCTTCAAGTTTCAGCTCCGCATTCATCCATCAACCACCGGCCGAGGCCGTCCTGGGTGCCAGGCACCAGGCCAGGGCCTGGAAACAGAGATGAATGGTGCCCCGACCCTGCCCTCCAGGATCTCATCGCTGGAGTGGAGATCGATTGCTGTAACTGGCTGAGGTGGGGGCTTGCAGATCCCCAGGCCAGGCCCTGAGGACGTGGGGGGAGGCGGGTAGGAGGAGCAGGGCCGGCCTCTCGGGGAGCTGCCAGCCAGGCACTGGCTACTCTGCAGGACACAGGTCCAGAGGCAGGAATGGGGCACAGCTTGCCATTCCTGGAGCCCAGGGGAGGAGGGGAGGCAGGCACCCTCAGTGGACGGACTCCTGTGTCAGGCCAAGGCTTGGACCCGTGTCTTCGGGGAATCTCTGAAACGTGCTTTTGTTTGGAGTTTTTTTCTTTTTTCTTTTTTCTGACACTGGTGATTAAACTCAGGACCTTGTGCTTGTGAGACAGGTGTGAAGCCACTGTGCTAAATCCCATGCCCCTTGTTTTTTTTTTTTTTTTTTTTTTTTTTTTTTTT